CTCATGGAGGTTCCCTTTCAGGTCTATGGGCCCGAGTGGTGAGGGTAAATGCTCCCTTTGGCTCACTGTTGATGTATTGTGCAAGCAGTTGACACGGGAAGCTACTTGGAACTGATTTGTCTTCCCGTAAGCCGACTGTGCAGTGGCTTAATGCAGATTGATTGCGAGGCTCTAGCAGCATGGAGAAATGGCATCCATTTGACCCTGCGTCCCATCTGGACTGGACAGTGGAAAACCTTTGGTTGATGGCAGGAGACTCAACGCAGGTCACATGCATTTACAACGCAGCGGGCATAATGCTTGCTTTGTTCAAACTTGTACATCATGCAGTGATCCAAGCAGATGTCATAGTCATAGGGTAACCAAAGTCCAGCAAGCACTGAGCACACTAGTTGCGAAGGCTGTATCAAATCTCTTCTATTGGAGCTCTAAAACAAACGCAGCCTTTCCAATCCCTTTCTGAAAAGTATACAAACTCGAAGTCAGGATTGTCAGTGTCACTCGGTTGCTTTCTGCTCCTCTAGTTGTTTAGTGGAAAACCCATTAGTTGGCAACGAGTTAAAGTCCTAACATCATCCAAGCAAAATGCAACAAAGGTCAAACCTCGCTGATTTCCCTGTCCTGCGCGAACCAGTGGTCGCTGGACGGAGCAAAACCAACCCCAAGCTCGTGCCAGGGAGCTTGTTCCGCAGCAAGCTTTGCAGAGTCTTGTAGCAGAGACTTCGGTCTCGGCAAGCGGTGCAGCGTTACCCGAAAGGTTCGCAGCGTTTCACTGCTTGGGGGCAGAGCATTAACGCTATTGTTTGCTTTACCACGATACGCCTGCCTGACATTCCAAGGCAAAAGTCACCTTTGGTTGCTCAAGATTCGACAACTAGGCCTGCTATTCCCAGCTTTGTTGGACGACATGTGGATGTCATCATGTATCTCAATTCAAGCTCTTCAGAAACCCACCCTACCACAGGCATCGTGTGAAACCTGGCCGAGGAAAGTGAATAGTGTCGAAATACATGTTTATTCACTGTTTCTATGACTCTCATCTGCGCAACCCATCAGCAATCTCTGCCCTGCCCCACCAGGGCGACCACGGGGCACAATACCTCCCTGTGGCCAAGGAACAATATCACTAAATCACTAGCGCTCCTCTTGCTTGCTCCAAAAGAAGCGTGAAGGAGCCCAGTGAGTTGACGTCGCTTTAGCAAAGCCGAGCAACGAACTACGAAACTGGATGTGAAAGCCAGAGCTTGTAAGCCTGAAGCCTAGGGCAGCAAACCTTGGGTGCACCATCTCTTTCGGGTAGAGCCGCCCTAAGGTGCTTGCGGTCCAGCACTGTTGCACGAACAAGTGTAGTCAACCAAATGTTCAAACAAGGATCAACACATCATCCTTCCAACAACTGGCCGAGTTCAAGCGCTCATACAGAGAGAGATGGCAAGCTGAGGTGAAAACATCAAGCGGACACATTTCGAACATTGGGGCTTGTCTCTAAATGGGGGGAAGCCCTAAAATGGTTGGTCTGCCTTTGGAATCCCTTTAAACCGCACCAACAGGTCCCCCCCGTCAAACAACAAACATCCCCACATGTCCTTCAACGGGAAATAAAAACAACGCAACATGCAACATGTCCAAATCTTCAACTCAGGGGTCACAAAGGCTTGGGAGCTGAGGTAGGGGGCCAATTTCAAACTCATGAGTAGTTACCCAGATGCATCCAGGAGCCATTGCTGTTTGGGGATGACCATTTTTTGTGTGCCCAAGAAACAAAAGAAAGGGCCATTGAACAAGGAAACTCCGTTTGGTAGCTTAATTCCATTTACTCCCCTGGAGATGCCTCAAAGTTTGTTGCTGGCTCCATCTCAAAAGTGCAGCTTGGAGTAGCACCCACTATTTGGGTGAAGTAGCCAAAATAAGTCCTGTCATTTTTTAGGGGCCCACCAAAAAGGTGGGTTCCTTTTTAGCTTCCCAAAAAAAGGCGCCAGTGGGTCGTCCCAAGCTTCAAGCGCTTGGGCGCATGCTGAGCTTGGAGATGCTCTCCACCAGCGGGCCAGGCACGTGCTCGTGGTTCCTGACAGGAAAAGGGGCCCCACCGGAAAAACCACCGAGAAGGTGGTTCCGACCCAAATGGGGGGAGTGTGGTGGACATGGGCTGAGTTTGCAACTTGTGTTCGAAAATGTTCAGTATTTGGATTCGGGGTGTGTGCCTTTTGGTGGATTTTATAGCGAACCAAAGAGAAGCAACCAAAGCGCATCCAATATTGTTAGAAGCACCAATCTCCTGGCACTTGCCAAATGCGAATGCAGGGTTCTGCATTCCCACTCAGCCCCAACAAGTGCTCGAATGTTCGGAACCCTTGTAGTTTAGACATGTTTGGGCGTGTGTCAAAATAAACGGTCCCCGCCAACATGGTCGATTGTCAATTTGTCCCATTTAAGACCAGTCGTTCAAATGGCTTGGTGTCACCCCGGAATTCTCTCAGCAAGCCCCCGGTAGGCTCCTCATGCCCATCTCCACCGCGGTGAGGACGCGGAACTCCTCCCGGGTGATGTACCGAAACATGGTGACCTCGGGAGAAAAAGAAAAACCCTTGCTGCACCGACCCCTCTCCAAACAAATCCCAACTTTTTGTGGGTTCAATGGGAAAATCATTGAATTCAATGAAACAGGTTCAATGGAAAACCCTTAAAGAAAACACAACAATCATGGGGGAGGTTCTCACCGGCCGATTTTGAGGTTTTCGGTTGAACGAGTAGTTGCACAAGAATACGAAACGGCATATGGGGGAGGTTCTCAACATGGTGGTACCGGTTTCGCTTGTTCTATGTCATTAAAAACCACAACTATTCTTAACCGCTGGGGCGGCCCCTCTCCCGGGTCGTGTTTTCTGTTTGTTTCAACTTGCTGTGGGTTCAGTTCGGAAACCCTTGATTCGTCCCTGATTTCAACCAAAAAAGCCAAAAAGGCAAAGTCGAAAGACCAAGCCAATAGCAATCGAGCCTATGGGGGAGGTTCTCAAAATGGTCATATGTGTGTCATTCAAAACCAAACCTATTCTTGGTTCCTGCAACGACCGCTCTTCAAACACTTGTTTTGAACAACTTGTTGTGGGTTCAAGTCTTTTAAAAAACATGGATTCGACCCTTGATTGACAAGTTAAATTCTATCATCCAAGCCAGTAGCAATCAAGCCTATAGGGAACGTTCTCAAAATGGTGGTCCCGGTTATGGCAGTCATATGTCATAGCCTCCGAGCTGTACAAATCGATCTCGAAACGGATCCGGGACGCCGAAAACCAGACACTATAGGCATTTTTACAGGCAACAACTCCGAGAAACAGCCATGCCGGTGCAAACTATCATTGTGGACCCTCTGGATGTGTGTCATTTTGTTGATGAATGTCCAACCATTTGGGGAGGTATTCCTCACAGTTCGTGGCCATGTGGGTGTCTCTTCTCAGGGTTAGCCCTTTTGGAGTTGGTTCAAAATGTAAGCCAACAGGATGATACAAAACTAACTATAACTCAAACGGATATGATGCAGGTAGTGTGCTTGATGCGGGTAGCCTGATTGAATCCGGGAACAATTTGACAAACCCAATTTACTGACATGTTGCATACTTAATTATAGAACAAACCCTAAGGGATCGCGCCCATTGCTCCTGCCGAGAACTGGGGCAGCCGCATCGAGCTTCATGGTCTCGAGGCAGCGAAAAGCGCTCCGAGCCGGTGTTCTGTTTGGCGCTCCGATGCTTTCTGCGTGTAGCTGTGTTGAAGTGTGGCGGGTGGTTTTCTGCCGGCTTTCGCTTTGTGGTTTTGCTGGGCTTTGTGCGGTTGGCTGCTGTGTGCCCAAAGCCCGCCAAGTTGAGGCGGAACACAAAAACCTTGCTACTACCGACGCAAAGGAACAAACCAGAATATGTGAAGAACTGTCGAAACAAGTTGAAGCCCTCTAAGTGTGCGCTGGCTTTCGCTTCAGCGATCAGCTTCCAAGCCAAGTTTTGGCGCACGGTGCAGTGTTAGTGACTTGCGCCGGTTGGTCCTGTGCCAGCCTCTTGTTCCAGGTCCAAACTGAGCCCATGCGAGAGCGAAATCAGACGGCCCAGGCCCAGTCCCAACAACCCAGCAATGAACGGCGGGCTGGTCAAACAGAAGGCTCCCTTGTGGACACAAACGCGCCCGGGAACAGGATCTGCCACAAACTGAAACACGGAATGAGTGCGCTTGCTTTGCAGGACTGCTCGCCAAATGCCCATGGTTTAAGCAAAGTTGGTGGGCATTGCTTCGCATTTTGGCCAGAATCTGGAAGATTGCCACACACAGCAGGATCAAGCAACCAGATGTGTAGTAACATGTACTAGCTGCCAGGTAGGCGCGGCCTAAAGTAACCTATGGATGCAGTAATCAAAGGAACATGTGTTCAAAAGAAACGGGCTCAAGCCCAAAGGCAGCGAACATGACATGTCGGGCAGGTGCGGCAATACGTTCGGTGTCCATGTTGCAATCCTGTTGGGCGGTCAAATCCTGCACTCTATCCCGGCTGGGCAACTCTCAAGACGCCCCTGTTGGTTTAGCCGTTCGAGAGGCGCAACATGGAACCCACTGATCTAGGGGACACTTCCCCATTCTTTCCAGGGATCCTTCTTTCCAGAACTGCAGGGGAAACAGCTGGTTTTTGAAAAGAACGATGGTTGAAAAGAATGGGGAATCAACCCCTAGAACTGATGCCTGTACTCAAATAACCCTGCTTTGCCTCTATGGCCCTCCCCAGACTCCGGAGGGTTGCCACTTGGTTGGGGGGTGTCTGAATACTCCGTGTGCAAGAGAGCAACGTTGGCATTGCCCATTGGTCATGCGCAATGGGAAACACGAGTCCACCTGTTTTGGGGCGGAAAAAAAACATCGGACCCACCTAGCCACCAACATGAGCAGGGGTTCTTGTAGTATCCACCTGAACAGTAGCCCCAGTGTCGCCGTGCCCTGTGCTCCTGACAAGGGCATCCGGCCTCTGATGGAGCCGACCTGGGATTGCCAAGTGCCGTGCGGCGCTAGCTTCGTGTCGTTTCCGACGTTGATGAAGACCTGTGTTTCATTCTCTGGGTCCTGAATCTTGAGCCACTTACATACAAGTAACTCCGCCAACCCGGGGAGTACAAGCAACATTCGAGCGCAAACCGTCCATGCAAATGGAAGAGGAGCCCCAAACCAATTGATGCAACCACTCTGCTGGCAGTTGCCTCCCTCCATTTCATGAAGCTCCTGTTTTCTCTTTTGAGTCCTGCCTAGAAAGGCCGAAAAAAAATCCTTCGACGCTAGAACCATCTGATGCTACTCCGGAGACATTTGGCAGAGGGCAGATTTCAGCTGGCGCGGGGTGCTTTTGGGGGGCGACGAGTTCGACCCGAGATGCTCAACTGCTCAACGGAATCGCTTTGTGAGAATGGGACCATATGGAGGGAAGAGGTGAGAGAGGAGTAAAATCACGGGTTTCACTGGTTGACCTGGGCAAAGCCGGGCCCAACCTAGTTTTCCCGAAGGGCTGAGCCTGGGCGATGCCTCTGACTCGCCGCGTTTGTTGGTTTGTTTTCCATGTTTTTCTGTGATACACCACACATGTGGTTCATGATGCGGTTATATGGCTGCGGGTCACAAATAGGTACCCAAAATGGAACCCGGGTAAGTGGAAACATGGACTAAAACCTGCTGTCCTCTAGTGGTTGAATTTTGACCCATACCCATGGAGTTGTGCACGCTGGATGCCATGTGCTGGGCTTAGAGGCATTCTGATGGCCCCAGAAGAGTCCATCATCATCTTGCAGCAACTGCGAGGCGTCACCGCCACGAACCAATGGCCGAGTTCGTGTCGTGTGCGCACACATCTTCACTCGTCATGTCTTGCATAGTGCGAGTGTCGCCTTCCTCTGTGCGGTCAGAAGACTGCAAACTCAAATGAAATCGTTACATTGATGAGGGATCAGTGAGTGAAAGGAAACAACGCAAAAACAAAACAAGTCGCCTGGAGGTTACCTGGCCACTATCTTGTCTTCAACTCAGGTCCTGGAAGGTCCAGAGCTGGTCCCCAAGCATGTGCTGAGTCCAAGTTGCAGGCGCTCGATCTGATGTTCGTCTTTGATTGACATTACCTTGTGCTGAATTTAGACGTTTCACTTTGTCTTGTCCTGCATGAACTGAAACTATGTTGGTTCTATGTTGTTGCTTCATGCAGGCATTTGATATGTGTTGCTGTCCAACTTCCACACCATCCGCTAATCTCAAAACACTATTTTGGATGGGATATTGGTAATAACAAGAGCATGGTAACATATAAGCATGACCTTTGCTTTCCTTCGACAGGAAATTCGATTATAATGACACGTCCATCTGATCTAGACCTATTAAAACAATTTGTTCTATGATCATCAGCTCTTTCAAAATCTCACTACTGCTTCCACAATCACTTTTGTTGGGATGACACTGGTGACAAGACGAAACAACCGAGGCCAGAACATAATAAAAGAACAAGTCTGCCCTTCCCTCTCCATCTCGCTGGGAACGGTGAGACATAAACACATCTCGTTCCCTTCGCCAAATTTTTGTGCCTACACAAAGTTCAAAGGATCCAGGCTCCGGTCAAAGAAATGAACAACAGAGCTTCAGCCTCCGTTGGGCACCAGGCAAGTAGTGCTCTCTCATTTCGCGCGTTGATTTGTGGTTATACCAACCTGGCTGCAACATATTATGTGGCCTGTACTATAACCCCGATTGAACCAGGTAGTTGAACCACCTACCAAAATGGCCAATTCCAATCGCTTTTGCTCACTTCTCAGCACCAAAAGCAGCTGGATGCAACAAAACCACGTATGACCACCAGAGGTGTTTCGTTAAAACGATTGCTTGTGCACCGTCCTTGTCTACCCAGGATTAAAGCAGCTGGTCAAAACCACGCAGATGCCCTTCTCTGCCTGTCACTCAGCACCCGAGCAATGCTGGTTGAAGGCCGCATGGAAGGAACCTACCCAGAGAACCTGTACCCCATCGGCAGGTACCCCAGAGCCCTACGCCGACTGGGACAGGGTGTCATGAGTGTGGGATTGGCTGTCCTCTTGCATTCCTTCCACTGTCCGCAAATGGGTCCCATTCCATTCTGGGTGCCAAATAGTGGGTCGGGAAATATCAGAATACACATCCCCATTGTGTTCCCTTTGGTAAATCAAACATATGAGCTGTTTAGCGCCCTGCTTTTGACACATCCGAGGATTTGTTGGGTGCCCCGCCCTGCCACCGTGGCAGTTTCTGGCCTCAGGCAATGCGAAAGGGTGTCGGTTTAGGGTCCATCGGCACGCGTGACCATCTGAACCCCGCTTCTGGAGCCTTTAGTTTGTAAGTGTATATATAGATATATGCACATATGATATCTATGCATGTACATATATATATATATATGCACATATGATATCTATGCATGTACATATACATATATATATATATATATATATTGTGAGTATACATACATATATACACGTACAAACATATGCATGTGTGTACATAAATACATATGTACATATTATAATATATATATATACATATATGTACAAATCTATGTGTAACCCTTTTTGGGAATTTCAACACAAGTCTTAGCCTAAAAGCGTGGACCCCCAGTTAAATGGACCCCCAGTTAAATGGACCCATAACAAGGCTCAATGGCAATCGCCCAGCGTTTCGTTCTTCAGCTACGGGTGGTCCTCCAGACTTGAGAGCTTAGAATACGGGTGCCCGATTTGTTTTATGTAGTCTATTTCAGTAAAAACAAAACTACCAAAAAAAAAGGAGTAAATGCCAGTTTTTCCGTAGTCTATTTCAGCAGGGGACTTTTTCCCCCCAAAAAAAGGTACAAGGGCCCTAGGGGTTACTTGGCTGGTTCCTAATTTTGGGGGGTTCGAACCCTAAAAACCGAAGGTCAATCGGGTCGTGCCCAATGCCACCAGCCATTGGAGCCCTCTGAAGCGCAAGCATTTCGAACGAAAGGCATTTTGATTGCAAGGGGAGCTTACTCTATGGCGAGTTGGGTTCCTGTTGGGCCAAAAAAAAAAGGAAGTCCAAAATGGGTCGATTTCCATGTGGTTGTGGGTCAAAAACAAAAGGAATTCCAAAATGGGTTGCCCGATCGGTAAGTGGAAACGTGGACCAAAACCTGTGTAACCCCTAAGGAATGATGGTCTCAGTCGCCCAAAGGACCTGGAAATAACAGGTTCACCTTTTGGGGCCATGACTTAAAGTGGACCAAGTCACAGAAACCAAAAGGTCAAAAGGTCGGCTTTGGGCAAGTGATGGATTGTTGGGTTCCATGTTAGTCTGCTGGGAAGTATTGTTCCCGTTGTGAATTAATACCCCCGAATGCTAACCCTTGCCGCCCCAGCAACAATGAAAAACAGTGATTCTATTTGCTCGATCTGGGAGGAAGGACTGGTGCCGATTCGTTTGCCAACGCCAATTCCAATCATAGCCCCAAATTGCAAATCCAAATCTCATCTCAAACAGATGCAAAGCAAGAAATCGCAAGAAACTGCACATGTGTTCATCCAGTTTGTCCATAACAAAACAAGTTCGACTAGCTGGGTATCCCCTTTCAATGCCAAGGCCGGAACAACTCAAATGTCTATTTTGCTCTCCAATTGCTCTCCTATTGACCAAACAGGTTGGCCCAAAAGGAGAAGTCTGACCACTTAGAGCGCGGAGGGTCCTGGGGGGGAGGGCGTCCGGGCCTTGGGGCCTTATGGGTCGATTCAGGCCATGGGTTCCCCGTCCGGCTGTCGAGCTGCCTGAGGCCCCCGACGCTGGATACTCCGCCTGGCCGAGCCAGGCAAACGGAGGTATCGGTTTTGCCTCTGGGAAACATTCTCCGGGGACATAATCCCAGACAACAAATAATTGTTTTCCATACGACATCGGATACATATGAAATGTTGCTGTTTAAGTGAAACATACAACATACAATCATTTGTTATCGGATACCCCATACAAACATGTCATAATCCCATATGAACACATACAACAACTGTTGATTGTACCTTGTTCTTGGATATCCCAAGTGTTTGCGGATTTTTAGGATACACTCCGACTGACCGCACATAGAGGCTTTACAAATACAGCTCCTTTTTGCGCTTTATTCACAGTAGCAGAGGTCCCCCTGCCGTATGGCATTCCGTCTCTGGAAGGCCGAGCGCTTGTTCCCAAGCAACACACTCACTCCGCATCTGATTGACTAGCATCTGTCAACTTGGGATGACCAGCCGAAGCATCTAGACCAAGGTGCGACATCATGGGGGTTTGATTCTCTTCAGCAAGTTTCCAGTGGTGTAACTAGCTGCGAAAACGCAATGTTTCATACAATTCTAGATGACATGCTCTCAATCCAACTGAATCAAGGATTCCAGCCAACCACAACTTTGGAGTGCTCCTCCCACACCAGGATTTTAGAGTATGTAGCTTCAAAGGGGACGCCGACTGATTGCCCGACCCCGACCCCGATCGGTAAACCAGAACTTGTTTCCCTGCCTTCCAAAATTAGCGCTGTTGTTTTACAGGCTCCAAATGATGTTTGCCCGTGTGTTGTCGCTTCTAAAAACGAACGTCGACGACCTCTCTCCCAGATCTACATGCCAACACCTTCTCCCTTCGGCAAGCCTCCGGTGCCACATTCGCACGGTCAGGGCTGCCTGGCGACAGGGCAGCTGATATGTGCTATAGGGGTTCTGGAAAGACGATTAAAATTACCAAGCCTCTTTGGCATGGTTTTGGCAAACCTAGCACTAAGATAATTCGGGACCATTTCAGATAGGTTGCCTTTTGGTGTTCCTTCAAAACCAGCCAAAAGGTCGGGAAGGGAGGGGGGCAGCATTCCCCCATTCTGAGACCAACACGTCTACTCAGAGCAATGGATTTCAAGGGGTCCTCAAATGGCATTGGATTTTGGCAGTAACCCGCTTTTTTACATGGGGGAGGGGAGGGGGGAACGACATAAATGCGTGTTAGTACTCTTTCTAGAGATTGACAAATGAGCTGCGTGCATCCTGCACTGTGCGGACACATGTTCTGCTTTATCGCCTTCTTTGTGGACTGCTTCAGAGAAAGAGTGGAATCATTTTCTTAGACGACATATGAAAGTGACCGCATGCCCTGTCCAAAAAGGTCTGCATCTTTGTAAGGAACGTAGAAGCGACACCACGCTCGCCTGAATTAAGGGTATCAAAAAGGCATGCCGCGAATTCACTGGCATTGGCAGTTAATCCATAAAACCCTGCCTAACATGGCATTGAACGGATATGTCTGGAGAGTTGTTTCATATAAAGGCCCCAATTTACCTTCTGCCAGTCATCGCGTCAAACCATCATCAGAATGCTGACTTGGCTTCTCTACAGCTCAATATACAATTTGTTGAATTTGGAATATTGCGGAGTACATTCGAATCTCACCATCATCCAACATTGATCCTTATGCAACCTCATGCCTGGACCTTCCGGGGGTCAAACATGTTAGGCGCTGGCCAACAAGTACGTGTTTTTCGTCGTTGGCGTGAAAGAATGCTTTTAAGGCCAGAAACCGCCGGCGGTCATATTTGTTTGCGCCACGGTCGGGAATTTTCGTCTGTTGGTCGGGAGTTTCCGCCTGTTGGTCGGGAATGTCCGCCTGCCCCAAAAGGCAATTCGTAGCGGAAAAAATAATAATGGCGGACTGTTTTTTGAGCACGCAGGAAGATCCAGGTATACTTCAAACCAAACATCTACCAACCCCTACTTCACCCGACTCTCGCCTAGGGCTGCGCCGAGGATGGGGTGCCTTCGAAGCCAAGACCTGGTTGCGTCTTTGGGCCAAATCAAGCCGATCAAATGGGTGCGTGTATGTCTGCTTCCAAAACCAAAGCAACAAACCAACGGAATTTAACATGGAGTTTGACATAAAGGCAGCCCAAATGGTTGGGCTTAGCACAAATTACCCGGGCCTTCTGTTCCCCTTGACTTCGTTTCTGGCCCACGAACAAATAGGGATGCGATGAGCCAAGGTATCCCCACCGGCAAGCCCTACGCCTGCTAACCATGCCGGAACCTACCCAAAGACCCCAAAGCTTGCCTTGAACCCAAAGAAATAGACCTAACACAACTCTTCTTAAAAACCATTTTGCAGGAATTGATCCATTCACAGCCTCTCCAAACCCTGGAAATAATTCATCTACTCACCTTCCCCCGGCGGTTTCTTTTGGCATTGCTTGGTGACTCCAGTCGCAACCTCTCTGTTCCGAGACCGCGGCCCGATGACACCACGCCGCACCTGGCCACTTCAAGATTTGGCAAGGGAAACTAGGACAGGTTGCCCAAATGTATTTCTGCACCTGGTGGATGGGCTGGTGGTGTTACCGTTTTGTAAGAACACTTGGTAGCAGAGGGCGAAAAAAAGCGCTGCCCTTGTGCTTGGATATGAACTTGTCCTTACTCAGCTGCTCAAAGCTGACGGCATCATGCTCATGAAGGAGTTGCTGTACCTGGTCGGCACGTGCTCCGATTTGCCGGGAACTTCACTGCCTTGCTTGGTCGGGCGCCTGCGGCTGCTGAGGGATCAGGGCCAAGAACACAAGAGATTGAGTCGTTTGCAATATCTGAGGAAACCTACACGCCCTTTCCCAATTTGCAGGCTATCCTCTCAGCACCAAACATAAACAAGCAAAAACGCCTTTCTTGAGCTGAACAATGGCAATGAACAGCTGACGATGAATTCGATGGAGCTTCATAATTTTGGAAAGAAGTGGAAGCCTTTTCTTGGCGCTAAACGGAACCCCGCCCCAGATTGTACCAAGCCCATTTAATGAAGAGCGGAGAAAGGGACTCCCCACAAAGGGGGCTGCCTTGTAAATGCATTCAACTATGTGTCAGCTTCCACGAGCGGTGGCATCACATCGACACGACGCAAAGCTCAAGTTGACCGTTCGGGTTACCGCTGACAAAGCTCCGTTCAACTTGCTCCTCAGAATGTGTTGATCAAACAGGAGCCTTTGACTTGCGTGAGCTGGCTGTTGAAAATCAAAACGACTACAAAACAATCTTGCCCGACCAGCCCGGGTTTACCTTTTCCACTGTACACTTATTGTCCATGATCTCTAAACCCCTCAAGCAACTAGGGACGGACGATATAGGGATTCGTTGGCACAATGCTGCTTCTAAAATTCCGTCTTCCCTCCAGCCAACCAAAATGCCACCTGGGCGACATCAAAGGCATCATCTGTGTTCGCCCTGCCTGGCTTGGCGAGAAAGTATCCTGGCACGTACTAGGAGCAGTTGCAAACAAAACGCCATGCCGTGTCTGGCCGTGACCCACTTACAACTCGCCCAAGTAAAAACGTGGAGTCCATTTCTGGGTGGTTTTGAGGTTGCATGCTCATGATCTCGATTGATCTGGTCTAATGTCAGCTGTGATATCTCTTAGGTTTCGCCATGCGCGCTGCTTGACAGCAAGGCGTTGGCAAAAGCAATCTGTGTGCCTTGCCGCACATAAATACATGGTTCATGGATATAGCAAAGAACAAGCATGCGGATCCATTTGTAAATTGGCAGGAGTCACACCTTTCCACGGGACAGGAAATAACGAAAACATAATTTTTCAGGGAGAGAGAGAAGAGATTAGGCGGAGATGGGCCAACCACATGTATCTCTCAAAAGCACTGTGGTGGGACAAAACTGCTTTCAACCAATAATAGCGAAGCAAGACCCCGAATCATGAGTGCCCTAGGAAAAATAATGATGCACAAATATGGCAACACATATTCCATTCACACTAGGATTGGCTTGAGGATCACTGCCGAGGCGTGCATTTCCGACCGTCCACCTTGTTTGTCGGATCAAACACTATCAAAACCTAGTATATACCTGCACAGATGTGGGCTTTTACTGACAGGTGACCTTTTGTCTCCTAAGTGACCACCGTGCATCGACGCTTCGCCGCCTTCTTCATTCGAGAAGGACGCCTTCAAAATCACGCCCATCCAAATGGAGCAAGGGACTCACGCGGCAACAGTAGCAGTCAAGGTCAGGTCAACTGCATCTCTTGGGTCGACAAAAGGAGCGTCCCTCAGCATTCTAAAAGCTCAAGTAAGATGCGCAAAGGATCGAACTCACTATGCACCAGCTGTCTGCGACTGGGGCATTGCGGGGCACTAACTGGCAGGGGTAAGAGAGCAAGGAAGACGGAGGATTCCACATGCGAATGCAAGGGAGAGATACCCAAATCGTGTCAGCCACGGATTGGGCCAGAGCCCTGTTCAAATGTGGCTGTGGGTCAAAACACTGTACGCCTGGTGAACATCAAAATAGGTGGCACACGGATGTTCATCCACCCCAAAATGGAGCCATAGGTTCTGCCCCATGGCTGTATGTAAACAAAAAAACCACCGATGGTTGAATCCCCCCTTTTTCCCAAAAGGCAAGGCTTTGGTAAGGCTTGCCAAACCCAGGTATCTCCTTCTGCGGCTCCTCTTCCAATGGCGCCGAAAGAGAAAGCTGTTCTCCGAGCCAAGTCTGCGACTCTGGCGCGGCCTGCGCGCAATCCATGTAGGTAATATGGCGGTGGGCAAAAAATAAGCACCGGAAAGTGGAAACATGGACTAAATCCTGTGGTCCCCTGGTGGCTTAATTTTGACCCATGCCCATATACCAACATTTGACCCATTTGAATGGCAATCGGTAGTCCTGGGTAATTTTTGAATACATGGAGTGTTTGGGGTTTGGCCTCGGGTGTGTTTTTGCCTTTGGCCTGATTTGGCGTGGCATTAAAACTCGAACACTTTGGGGGGTCGCTTGCTTTGGGCTGCTGAATGATAGATCACCCGACCTAATGCTCGAATTGATAGACCCATGCGGCTTAATGTGGGGGGTTGTCCACATTTAGCAAACGGCGGCCCATTGTTTGGGGCACGCCCGTGATTGTATAGTAATCAGGGTTTTCAAGGAAAACTAAAAGCAAACCAGTCCGTCCCTTTTATGTCGGGGATCCTTGCTTGATGGCGGTTGGAATCTCAGGGAGATGGTTGCATGGTCTTGCCAGCCCTTAAGATCACAAACACACCTTCCTGAATCGGCTTCACAATATGACCTTCCCAACCTTCCCACAGTGATAAGCCTCGAACCATTTTGGGGAGGCTTGTTTAAACTCCCTGCATGATGATGATTTATTTGTCCAATGGACACAGACCCCTCCAGTTTAATCCGAGCTGTTCCACGTTTCGTTCAACCAAATGCATTCTTTTTTTGGGGAAACCTCCTTGCTGCTAGGGAACCTCCCAAACGACTTCCCTGTGGTTTCCCTATTCATCACACAAGTTGCACCGAAATATGGGTGTCTTTTTCTGTGAAGGTGTTAAAGGGATACCAAATAGGGACCCCCAAAGTGATCAGAATTGGTGCACCTCAGCGCAAACCAAGACACTTTGTAAGCTTCCTGCCAGGCCTTGGCCTTGGGCTTGGTGGGCTCTGCCTGCAAGCAACTCATTTTGGTGGACCAATTGACCAGCAGTTCCATGCTGCAAAATCTTCATTTGTGTTCAATTGGCCAAGAATTTGACCAAGAACTGACCAGGAACTAGAATTGACCAAGAATTATAATTTACCAAGAATTGACCAATAATTTGACAAGAATTGATGTTGAAGCGGCAAGGGTGTGTGACCCATACGACAAAACATGACTTATGTTGAATCGGTCAGACCCCTCACCGTGACTCATACACCTTTTGTTTTGCCCCTCCGCAACTAAAACGCGGAACCGGATGAGCTTCCGGCGTTTCACTCTGCGGGCCCGGCGAGCACCCGCTTCGCAGCCAGCTGGAGGTTGTGAAACTCCGCAGCCTTCAGCCATGGGGAGCCAGGGGGAGCCAGGTCTGGGGGAGCCAGGTGTCAAGAAGCTAGGTACCCTGAAAATGCCGTTACGCAAATGAAAGAAGAGGCCCCTCAAAAAAACTAGCCACACCCAAAGGACAAACTTAGAGGGCGCTGGTGAATGAGTAAAAACTAACTGGCACTCCATTTGTAAAGCAAATTCACCTAACAAAGACAAAGACAGCTATGCTTCTATGTCCAATGAGGCCTGTCAAAATCCCGCCCAGTGGAACAAGGATGGCAAAAGCCGTCCCAGAATAGGTGCGGGTTGTGACCAGCCGGCAATGGCAACAGCTCGTTTCGCCAGGCGAGCTTGTTTTGCGCCTTTGGTCAGACCGGACGAGCTCGTGAGTTGCCCGTGCGCCGCGTTTGCATCACCAGCATCGCCATGGCTTGGTCCCTTATTTTTCACGTATACGCTGCGCGTTTGGCTGGGTAACGGTACAATGATACACTCCAATGGCCAGTCGAGGATGCTGGAGATGCAAAAGCTGGGCTGGGGGCCCGAATGGGGCTGGGGGGCTGGCTGGGTGAGTTGAGGGGCACCGAACACAGAGCGCGGGTGTTGAGATATGTCGAGTGAAAGGCAGCATGGTGTTCAGCTGCTCAAGAGAAACACTGACACCAGTTGCAAGTGACCGGGTTGCCAGTGTGCTGCATCGGGTCCCCACAATCAAGCAATCTAGATAAAGACGGAAACTAGGCTGGGTAAAATACTACACAAGCACAATTTCTGCTGCAGAGGGCCTGGAGATACAAAATCCATCTTTTCCCACGCATGACGCCCAGGCTATACCTGCATAATGTTCCCGTGTCTCGGAACGGAACCCACCCCTCCCCTAGGTTGGTTCAACCCCCTTCAAAAGAATGATTAAAAAGGGTTCTATGGTTTGAACCAGCCTAGGTTGAGGGTTAAAACCATGAACCCCATCGCTTGAACCCCCATCAAAAGGGTTCTATGAACCCCCATGGATTGAACTTTGAGCCCCACCCCTCCCCTTCCAAGCGGATCGGTCCCATTCTTTTTTTCGTGAGCTCGTGGAGACAAATTGCCGCCGTGGCGGCCACATTCAGCGAGGCCCCGCGGAGCGTGGGCACCCGAACAGCCTGGCAAAGCCTGAGAATCCAGATGTCCAAGGCTCAAATGGCAAACCATTGAGGAGTGGACATCCATATACATGTGTTTCAACGTATCTATATTTAGACATACAGATAGAGCATAGGTATGTATGCAACTGTATGGCATACAATATATCTATCTAATATATATATATATAACAACCACAAAAAATGATCATGGCCCTGTTGATTACTGATGCCGCCACTGATCGCTGTACGAGGCTGCGATGGCTCCCCTTCTTATGGCTCTGAATCAGAACTGGACACATCTGGACGGTAAACAGATTGGAATAGAACCATTAAACATGCACAGCTATTATCTAAGAGCATGCGTTCCTGGGACCTCATTCCAAACACAAAGGCAACAAGATACAAGCAATCATAAATGGCGGACAAGGATAGACAACAATGATGTGAGGAAAGTATCTATGAGATGTGCTGCGCAGCTCACTGTCCTCATGCTTCGTCATAAAAGTCCGCCACCTACCCACAAACACATTGTGCAGGTTTCCACTGACCGTGAACTGACACAAACATCCAGCTTTGGCTCCAGCAGTTCACAAATTAAAAGACGGCACCAATCAGATTCTCAGATGCGTTGCTCCATGCATTTGGTTTAACTGCAGCGTTCCGCCGCCCCGAGAAGATGCCCAGCGCAGACCCTTCAGATGAATATGGAGCTCAATTGGCTTACTTTCCCTCCCCAAAAATCTTGGCGGAATCCTGAAATGGCTTGTCTGGATCCACATAATCTGAAGAAATGCCGGCGTCCCAAATCGGAAATCCCGGTTTGGAGGTTGAAAGGATGCAGACATACATCCAATTTGGGGCCCATCGATTCTGAAGACCCGCCCCCTGTGGTCCAATCGCCCGGGCCAGCGGCTCCAGGACCTCCTTGCTGATGCCGTGCCTCAAGGGCCCACATGCTTCGACCGCCGGCCGGTATCAGGGTGGCTCCCAAGCACCAATGGGGTGAAACCATCCTTTGAGAAACTCCCAAATGAACCCAACAAAATGACAACAAGAGGAATGCACCAATTCCCTGGGTTTTGATTTCTTTGACTTCCTCAGAGCAATCCCGAAGCCGTCCCAAGGGACCCGCCAGATTTCAGACCAGCTTGCGCTGCAAATGAGCATACCCAAAGACTGCCGGGGAGGGCGGGGAAAGACGATTCCCAACTGAAAATGATGTGGTTGTTGGGCTCCATGATCAAAGTGCTTTCATGCCCTTGTGCTCTCAAATGGCTCCTTTGAGGATGGGGAAAAGGACTCTGCTTTTGCATGAACCGGGACAACGAAAAGAAATCAACCTCTCAACAATCACTTTGTTGGTTCGTTGAGGTTGAGGCTATCTCAGAGCATCAACGCGTCTGTATCAACCGTTGGCTCTCTGTCTCAAACCTCGGACCGAGCCTTGTGTTGACACTTCCGTGCCAAGATGCTTCGAATGATTCACGATTGCTAGAAACAAACCAAATGTGCGAACGCCTGCGCCCAAAAACGCGACTCTTCATGCCTGTGCCCACCAATCCTTTTCGCGATATCACTGTCGCATTACAAAACGTTAACCAAACATCATTGTTTGGGGAAGTCCCTTTTGTTCTCAAAGGGAAACCACGCGGAAACCACCCGTTGAGCCGACGTGCCAACGGCCACGGTTCCAAACATGGCTGTAATTAGAAAGTGACCTTTTTGTCACCCATGACTACATCCCCCATTTATTTCCAAAAGGCTGAAAACTGGGCGATGGGGTACCCCAAAACGGGGTATTCTTTCCCCCGAAAAAAAGAAAAGAAAAGACGAATCCATCGCATGTTCCTTCCCCTTTAAACCAGCCCTCTTTAAAAACCACCGTTACCACCCAAATGGATCTTCAAGGTTCCTTCAGCACCCCGAAGCGGGTTTCCACCCCCCCCCTAAAACAACCTTTTCACCACCCCCTCACCCTAACCCCAACCCCCCTCACCCCAATCCTAACCCCGACCCCCGACCCCCAACCCCCAACCCCCAACCCCCAACTCCCAACCCCCAACCCCCAACCCCCACCCCCACCCCCCACCCCCCAAAATCCCCCCCCCAGTCCCACACCCAACCCACACCTACGAGGTGCTGCTCAGAGCCCAACACCAGCGCCCAGCGCCCGGAGATCTCCGCGCGTCGCGCCACGGCGCGGGCCGCGAAGTCTTCCGCGGCCAACAGCTGACGGTTACCGGCCAGCGCTTTCAGCGCCGCCTGAGGCGGGGAGGGAGTGTTCTTTCTTTTGTGTTTATATAAAATCCATGGGCCCAGCTTGTTTTTTTCTGTTGTAAAACAACAAACATGTTGTAAATGTTTAAACAAGTGGGTTTGGCGTCCTGCTCTGTTGCTTGCCTTGTGGTGAGATGGCCAGTCCCCGCACGTCACCAACAGCTGGCCAGTTCAAAGCAAAGGGGAAGAATCTGATTGAATTCATCGTTTGAGGGTATGTCTTGACAGGTGTGACGATGATGAAGCCCACCGCCCCCCCCGTATTACTCAGTGTGGCCGAATAATGTGTTTTGTGGTTTGCGGTCAACGCCACGCACGAGCAACTAACATAATTATTTGTAGTGTAGTCTCAACTTGGACGTGAGTGGCTGCCCCAATTCCCAACAAAATGATCCAGCATCAACCCAGCTCATTTCACTCGGAACGCAAATTGCCAACCACCGGAGACCGTGTCTGGGCAGCCCACATCAAGCATCCAAGCCAAAGACCAGGCGTTGCCTTGCATGAATGGGGTGCAAAGCACGAGGAACAAACAATTAGGTAAGTAAGTGTTGTCGCCAACTTGTTGCAACTTTGTTTGCACCAAAAGCACGAGGAAGTCGCGCCGAAAACAGAAAAGCGTTGCCAGCCAAATGTTTGAATCACAAGAGGCAATGACACAAGCAGGACGACAAGTCTGGAGACAAGTGGTCTTTCTCGAGCTTTGGTTTCGTGCAACATGGAAGTTGACGAAAAGGTCCTTGTAAGAACATATGCTGTGGAGGGCCATAGAACTCTAGGTGTTAGTGCCCGGGAAAGATCCGGCCACCGGGAAGGAGTCTGCGAAAGAGTATGGTTTAAGCGAAAGATTAAGCAAAAGCTTCTTGGAGGCATGCTTGTACGCTTGCATATGTGCAGACCCCACTCCTTTGTATGCGTCCTTCATTCCCTGCCGGTACTATAGTGGTTTCTTTTGTAGTCGTGTCCCAGTACGGGTTAAGATTAGGGGTCTCCCTTTTTGAACAAACCATCATCACAAGAGAAACATAGCAGGAAAGGATACAATCGCAAACACACACCCGGGTTTGCTTTTTAAGGATATCCTCTTCTGGCAAACAGCCAGGTAGACCCAAGCCAAAGTTCTACCTGGATTCTACCTGAAGGAAAACTCAACCAGACAGGCACACCTCACGCACAAGCCCCCTATGCCAGCGCATTCATGTGGGGTTTGATCAAAAGGTTTGATGAACACGGGATGGCCACTAGAGGAAACCACCAAAAACGATAGTATGTCCGACGAAATGGGAAAGTTGCCCATGGTCATTGGGTGGCCAGGAATATTGATCAACCATGTCAAAGCGCCAACTGGCCATCCCCTTCTTGGGATGGGGAAATTCCGAAGCCTGTTACTTCTGGGAATAAGGGAACCCTCTGAACCATCGCTTGTATTTCTTTTTTGCGCAACTTCTTCCGGTTTTGATTCCCTGACCAACCCAATCCCCCAAAGCGCCGATTTGCCGGCAGGTCGTCCGCTCGATGGAAGTCCGCATGATACATGGCGCCCTCGGAGACGGCGGCGGCGCGGCCGTTGAGAGCTGACCACGTGCTCTTCGAGACCACAAAGG